TTCTGTGCTAATGCCTCCACTGCTAAAAGGACATTATATCATAACAAAATTAACAATTCATCTAACTCTCGCATGCACAATTTTCCACACCACAATTTGTCAAGCACATCTTACCAGCAAACATACACTCGTTTTCATCCTTCTTTTCACTCTCTGAGGCAGAAGTCTCCAAACTCATCCTTTCCAATCATCCTACTACTTGTCCGCTTAATCCTATTCCATCTCATCTCCTTCAAGCCATTTCTCCTGTAGTTGTACATGCACTCACTCACATCATTAACATATCCCTTCACACTGGTGTTTTCCCCTCAGCATTTAGACAGACTCGTATAACCCCACTACTTAAGAAACCCACCCTTAACCCATCTCTTTTAGAGAACTACAGATTGGTTTCCCTTCTTCCTTTCATTGCAAAAACACTTGAACGAGCTGTGTTCAACCAAGTCTCTGCCTTTCTCACACAGAACAACCTCCAGCGAGTCCTCAATAAAGAGTGACTTCTGTATGAAAGATATCCCAACGTCTCCTGGTCTCTGCTTCGACGAGGAAAAAGTTTCCTACACCAGCAAACATACACTCATTTTCATCCTTCTCTCCACTCTCTGAGGCAGAAATCTCTAAACTCATCTCGTCCACTTGATCCTATTCCATCTCATCTCCTTGCCATTTCTCCTGCCATTGTACCTGCACTCACTCACATCGTTAATACATCCCTTCACACTGGTGTTTTTCCCTCAACATTTAAACAGGCTCTTATAACCCCACTTCTTAAGAAACCCACTCTTAACCCATCTCTTTTAGAGAATTACAGACCAGTTTCCCTTCTTCTTTTCATTGCAAAAACACTTAAACGAGTTGTGTTCAACCAAGTCTCTGCCTTTCTCAAACAGAACAACCTCCTCGACAGCAACCAGTCTGGTTTCAGAAGTAGATCTTCAACCGAGCCTGCTTTGCTCTCAGTTGTTGAAGCCCTAAGACTGGCAAGAGCGGATTCCAAATCTTCAATACTTATC